TAAATCGGTATACGAACAAAAACGATCAGACTTTATCCTAGCTGGTTTGTATACCGAACGTTATACCGAACTCTTGGACCACTCAAAGCAGTCAGGTGCCACCAACTGACCTTATTGACACTGTTCTAAACCGCAACTCTGAACATTCTAAGTTGTTCACTGGTTGGCAGTCGATTTGTATGCATAAACACGTGGCGGCGGTCATCTTGTTTTGTCAAACGTGTCCAGCGGTGTTTGGTCGTCGAGTGTATGGAACTATTTTTGGACACTCAACGGCCCAAACACTGCTGAAACTTCCAGTGCCACTTAGTTTCGTCCCAATCCATCCGAAAGAGGTGGCGTTCGGTGAAGACCGGCTCCCAAACAAAGAGGCACACGACTAACCTCCACACGAACAGTCATTCAAGACATTTTTCAACATTTTGAGTTTCCTCCCGCTATCCGGTCCAGCAAGTCATCCACCCTAGGCATAGGGTACGTTGGCGTTGGTCACGGTTCTATCTTGAGTTTTCTGTAATCAACACAGAGCCGGGTTGTACCGTCCCGCGTGGGAAACAGTATGACCGGGGTAGCCCAGGGAAGTGTGCTTGCTGCCGTAAGGGTGCTGTCCTGGGGTCTCCACTCAGTGGACCACCAGAGCAGTTTACCCAGGTACGGCTGAAAACATACCGCAGCGTTTTCTTAATAATTGCCTGGCTTGCTCCCGCTGATCGGGAGTTAACGTGTTTCCCAGCTCGATTGACCCAGGGGTACCCCCGAGGAAGATTGATATGGGAAGCCGTTGGCTATTGTCTGAGGGGGCACACATGGCGGGTCACCTGCTAAGGCCTTTCTAGGTCAACCTTAAGCATGTTGATGTGGTATGCCCTCCTAACCCTCTTGTCTTTGCACAAGGCCACTATGTAGGTGGTTGTAGCGGAGCGCTGACCTCTCACAGCCTATATCCGCTAGTAATCCAAGGGAGGCTCAGGAACAAGTAATAAAACCCAGGAGAATAGTATCCACAGCAAATAAAATAATGCAAGAAGATCCCATAACATTTCCCAATGACTGAACGACACACAGCATCAGGAGCAGAACTAAACTTTTAATCTACACAACTTTTGTTTAAGAATGTATCCCATGCAAGGGAGTCACCCACAATAATTAGTACAGTAACCAATTGTGTACATGTTACCTCCCATACATCTCCTCCCCTTAGTATGACACATAATCTATTTATACAGTATAGGATTTTACCCGTTTTTCAGATGTACCCCAAATATGTAAGATACAGTGATACATTTTATATCCCCTGTAAGCCCTGATCTGGGAGAGCAACATATTAAAAAATCACCCAGATCGCACCGGGGGTTCGGGAGTTAGGTGGAAGTAGAGATTTGACAGACCACACACGAGGTAGTAGCTGAAAACAGTTCCATAGGTTTGGGCCTTGCGTTCGGTCTTTGTTTGGTACATAAAAAGCACGAAAATCCCTGTCATCCAGTGCTGAGCAGTGGTTCGGCTGAATCCCCTTGTTCAGGAGATTCATTTAACCCCTTAAGGACACATGACATGTGTGACATGTCATGATTCCCTTTTATTCCAGAAGCTTGGTCCTTAAGGGGTTAAACGAATGATGGACTGATTCGTGGTTCCGTTCGGTAGTTCTGGAGCCCTGGAGGTATAAGAGGTGTTCAGGTAATCGAGTGTCCGATTTGGGTTCCAGACACTAGACGACCAAACACCGCTGAGCGTTTGTATATAAAATGGCCACCGCCACGTGTTCGTATGCCAAACAGCGGCCCCCAGCAAGCCCACACAGAGGGTTTAGTTAATTTCCAAGTAGCTTGTGGTTACAGTGAATTAAGTAGTCAATGAGAGGCACACTTATCCCTGGGGTGGTCTGATTGTTCGGTAGTTTCTTTTGTATGATGAACCAAGTGATTTTACCGAACAATCAGGCGAATGCTGCATACAATAGGAATACACATAGTAGAAAATTAGATAACGGACCAAAGGTCTGTTTGAATGTAGGAAGCTCATCCACTGGAGGCAGACATAGTGCTGAAATGTAAACATTGCAGTTTCTCTAGAACTGCAATGTTTAACATGGCAGAACTACGGTCAATAGGGACTTTGCACCCAGACTACTTCAATGAGCTGAAGTGGCCTGGGTGCCTATAATGTCCCTTTATTAAGGCATGTTGTTCAGGCATATCCGAGAGCCACGTAGTATGTGCTATGGTTCGATTCAGGCGGCTATAGGCATGTAGTGATGCTTAGGTCATTGACTGATAATAGAGCTATAGTTGTTATGCGCTGCCTATGGAATACAATTTGTCTGTGTGCTGACACTTGTCACACTGTATCCAGTTACTAGGTAATTTTGATGCTCCATTACTTGTAGCAATTTGTTAGTTTCGAGTAATTTCTGACTGACACCCTGTGCTGCTACATCATCTGCTACAATTGTTACAGATTCGACTTTTCAGATACAGTTGCAATATACTTCCTGCTAAATACCATATCTCCTTGTGTTGACAGCCTTTATCTACATGTTGGCTGATATTCAAATGTTGAACAATATGCAACCAGAATTTAGGTGATAAGCAGTTTTTTTCTACCAACTGTAACTCTAACAACACCTGCTTGAGCTATACTTACTGCCTGGGTGAAAATGATATAAAGAGATGGTAAGCAGTCTATGACTGTATTCCTTTACTCAGGACACTATGTAAGAAGATGTTGCCAACCAAAAACAAACATTTCTCTATCTAGACAAAGAGAGTCTGTTAAAGCCACATTCTAGGTATATGTGGTTTACATACTATTACTAACACTACGCACATTGTCCTTATGTTAGATCCGTTGTCATTGCTGGCGCTAGGAGCCATAATTTACAATGTGAGCAGTGATTTGGTTTCTGCCCCTCCCCCACGTGTTCTCAGTGGAGAGTCTGTATATGGCTTTCGTTTTGAGCGCCAAAAGGACAATGAGTGGGCGTGACGTCACTGCCATCCACTCACTCTTTCGCCCCTCCTAGTTGTTGTGCAGTTCCCCATCAGGTCCGTCTGCACGCTATATAAAGCCTGGCTCGAGACTCGGGCTCTTCATTCGTCTGTGATCGTTACAGAAGCAAGTCATGTCTGGAAGAGGCAAAGGCGGAAAGGGTCTCGGTAAAGGTGGCGCTAAGCGGCACAGGAAGGTTCTCCGTGATAACATCCAGGGGATCACCAAGCCCGCAATTCGCCGCCTGGCTCGCAGAGGAGGAGTGAAGCGAATCTCCGGCCTCATCTATGAGGAAACCCGTGGAGTGCTCAAGGTCTTCCTGGAGAATGTCATCCGCGACGCTGTCACCTACACCGAACATGCCAAGAGGAAGACTGTGACCGCCATGGACGTAGTCTACGCTCTTAAACGCCAGGGCCGCACTCTTTATGGCTTCGGAGGTTAAAATTAAGCTGCACCCGGTTTCCGTGATTCTCTATAAAAGGCCCTTTTAAGGGCCACCCACTCGATCTTAATAGAGCTTTGTCTGTCCCTGCACTGCCCGCTTTACATGCTGTGTGTGTGAGAGCAGCTTTAATGCTGCCTTCCTCTTACTTAGTTACACTGGAGAGAGCACCCGCCGGTCACTGTACATCCTCTTTTCTGCCTTCACTGAGGGTTCGTGTTACCCGTTTGTAATACTCCGCAATTCGCTGTAAAGAAGCCTTTAACCCCATCCGTTCCGTGTGCACGTACTCGGTGCGATCCATTGCCGCCACCTTCTGGCAATCTCTGTAATCCCCCCAGTGAAGCCGAGAAGAGCCATTCATTATTCTCGATATTCTGTTGGGAGACCAATAATGAATTGCACGTGTTTTCAGAGCTGCGGACAGCTCATAATGTGGCAATTTAGGGCCCCCAAAAAAGGTTTTAATGATTGATTTCAGTTGAAGCAATTGGAGACAGACTAAGCCGTACATGAATAGAGTAAGAGATATGATTTTCTAGTGTGTGACTTACTAGATAGAGAATTGAGACAGCATGCACACCCAATAATACTGGATGGCTTAGATGAGGATTAAAGCTCTGAGAAAGACCATGTGGGTGGCTCTTAAAAGAGCCTTTGTGTTATCAGAGCGGGGGGAAGAAGGCGATTACTTGGCGCTGGTGTACTTGGTGACAGCCTTGGTGCCCTCAGACACGGCGTGCTTTGCCAGCTCTCCGGGTAGCAGCAGGCGCACGGCGGTCTGGATCTCCCGGGAGGTGATGGTGGAGCGCTTGTTGTAATGAGCCAGGCGAGAGGCTTCTCCTGCGATGCGCTCAAAGATGTCATTGACAAAGGAGTTCATGATGCCCATAGCCTTGGAGGAGATGCCGGTGTCGGGGTGGACCTGCTTCAGCACCTTATACACGTAGATGGCATAACTCTCCTTCCTGGTCTTTCTGCGTTTCTTCCCATCCTTTTTCTGCGGTTTAGTCACGGCTTTCTTGGAGCCTTTCTTGGCGGCTGGTACAGACTTGGCAGGTTCAGGCATGATCAACGCTGACTGTTCAATAAGCAATGCTAGGCGGCTCCTCCGGAGGCTCTATTTATAGGCGGACCATGTAAATGAAGACTTTTCGCTTTCTATGATGTGATTGGTCAGTAAACAGTGATGACGTAGGAAACGCATGTGCAATGTTAGTTTCAGCTAATGATTGGTTCCCTGTACAACTCGTCTCTAATTGGCTGCTTGTAAATCCATCCAATCACAGAGCAGACTGTGGTTATATATAGCCTGTGTTAGGGGGAGGGCTTCATATCTTCCATTCAAACAATCTAGAGTTAACATGTCTGGCCGCGGAAAGCAAGGAGGAAAAACCCGGGCAAAGGCGAAGACGCGCTCATCCCGAGCCGGCCTTCAGTTCCCAGTCGGCAGAGTCCATCGTCTGCTGAGGAAGGGGAATTATGCAGAGCGTGTGGGAGCCGGTGCCCCCGTCTATCTGGCTGCAGTGCTCGAGTACCTGACCGCTGAGATCCTGGAGCTGGCAGGGAATGCCGCCAGAGACAACAAGAAGACCCGCATCATTCCCCGCCATCTCCAGCTCGCTGTCCGTAACGACGAAGAGCTTAACAAGCTGCTGGGAGGAGTGACTATCGCCCAGGGAGGTGTCCTGCCCAACATCCAGGCTGTGCTTCTTCCCAAGAAGATCGAGAGCCACAAGTCATCGAAGAGCAAGTAAAGTCAGCAAATCCTCATTCTTCATACCCAAAGGCTCTTTTAAGAGCCACCCACTATGTCCAAACTGAGCTCAATAATCCTAGTTCATTCAATTGTATTCACCCCCCAATCACAAACAAAGCACCATCCGCCCTCATGCTTCTTCCTACCACTAAAAGCTGAAGCCTGGGAAATCCAATTCTGTGTAGAAGACATCAAACCTCTACAATATCTAAGTGGGGAAAAGACCGCAGAGGGTTTTTCTGTAAAGGGAGTTTCAGTAGGTTAGTTTTCTAGTTATCTTCAATTACAAATAATTTTGCTTTTCGGTAATCATTTTGAAGCATTTAAGTACGAATGTTAATTGTGTAAAGGTGCTCTGGAAATAATCAATATATACACACACTTTTCCTTTTTTTGTTCACAAGGATCAATAACTTAGGTCTTCAGTGGCTAAAAGAGTAAGCAATTGGGCTCTTTTGAAGTTCTTGTGGGTGGCTCTTAAAAGAGCCTTTGTGGGGTTTATGTGAGCAGGTTAAAAGCTTAAGCTCTCTCTCCTCGGATCCTACGAGCCAGCTGGATATCTTTGGGCATGATGGTGACCCTCTTTGCGTGGATGGCACACAAGTTGGTATCCTCAAAGAGACCCACCAGGTAAGCCTCGCTAGCCTCTTGCAGAGCCATGACAGCAGAGCTCTGGAAGCGCAGATCTGTCTTGAAATCCTGAGCGATCTCACGGACAAGGCGCTGGAAGGGCAGCTTGCGGATCAGCAGCTCGGTGGACTTCTGATAACGGCGGATCTCTCTGAGAGCTACAGTCCCTGGCCGGTAACGGTGAGGCTTCTTCACTCCGCCGGTAGCTGGGGCGCTCTTCCTGGCAGCTTTGGTTGCTAGCTGCTTGCGGGGAGCTTTGCCTCCGGTGGATTTACGTGCTGTCTGCTTGGTTCTGGCCATCCTGTGTCACTCACAGAAACGAAGAATCGAGTGAACACAAAGCGCCGCATCCGCCTAGTTATAGTCTTAGGTGCACTCTGATTGGCTACTCTGTGCGCATTTTGATTGGCCGAGATATTTAACCGCTCCCCAGTTCAAAATGCGCGCCAAAATGTCCACCCTTAGTGATGTTCAGAGGCAGATATACTTCCGTTTTGACAAACTGCTATCACAAGCGCTCTGCCCGCTGCAGAGATTCCTTGAACTGTTCAGCGGGCACGCACTGATAGCCGAATTGACAGGAGGGAGACTAAATGTATTGATTATAGATCATAAAAGCATGCTGGGAGATGTAGTATATTTGCGTTGAGGAAAAAATGGTAATTCATGCTGGGGCTGGGGTGCAAAGTATTTTGTATTTGCATATATTCCAGGAGAGGCAGGTTATTATATCTGCTAATAACAAATTAATTCAAGGCGAGGAGAGCATGCAAAGGACATAGATTTTACAGAAACAGAAAGCATGTTGGGAGATATTGTGTTCCTTTCTTCTGGCCACAATACTGTCCTTTATAGTGACATCGTGTTTTCTCTAATGATACATTTTTGTTTTCTGTCATTGTTGTGAGCACCAATGACATCACTGACTATGAGAATAGGAGTTGTCTCCTAATTGTTTCAGTTTCCCTGGTGGTCTAGTGGTTAGGATTCGGCGCTCTCACCGCCGCGGCCCGGGTTCGATTCCCGGTCAGGGAAGTTACTTTTTTTTTTTTTTCTCCCTCCCATTACGGCAGAATTTATTTTAGTATTAAAATGCACATCAGACGGAGCGTCACGCTGTGATCGCAGGTGTGGGTGATTGTGACCAGGTGAATGCACAGATTCCACATGGAACGCTGAACTTAGCCTCCCTGTTATTTCTTCTGCCTGTTACACGTGTTACGTTCTAAATCTTTCTACACGTGCAGGGATTTGGAACCTTGACTCGACGATCGAAGCCAGAGACAGCTGAAAACTGCCCGGTTGGTGATATGGGTGAAGCTGAGTTTAGTTACTCCTCTGATACTTGCTTGCTGCGGCTGTGGATCCGCAGCTTTTTTTTTTTTTTTTTTTTATTCCCTTGCCTTGTTCATCTGTTAACTATTTATTTTATTTTTTTAAATTGTCTAATTGAGTAATATTATGATCTGTTCTTGTTGGGTGAGGGGGAATTGCATAGTAATACAGTTATTTCTGTTGATAATTCTAGTTATTTATACCTATGGAAGCACAAATTGTAAAGCAAGCATGCATTAATAATGTAATTAATCATTAAGCGACGAGAGGTAATTTAAAATTAAAAATGTTTCTGCCCGGTTTCGAACCGGGGACCTTTCGCGTGTGAGGCGAACGTGATAACCACTACACTACAGAAACTTGTGATAGTGCAATTCACATATCCTGCTTATATTTTACACCAAACATAGTGAAAGTGTTGGTTTATAGTGTTCTTTTTTTGCATTGACTATTACAATCTCTATCATAGTGGTCCTACGTGTTCTTAGATTGCACCGCTGCAATCTATAATGAATGCAAGGCTCATTTTCCTGCACTCCCGCACCCAGGGCCACCACCAGAAAATTTGCAGTGTGTGTGTTAGTGTAATGAATGCAGTGTGTTAGTGTAGTGAATGCAGAGTGTGTGTCAGTGTAGTGAATGCAGTGTGTGTATATTAACCTGTCTATTAAGGGGTGCTATTGGGGAAAGCCTTTTGGGAAGCTACTCTGCATTAGAGTTAAGTGCTCTTTTTTTTTTTTATCTCACTTAACACTTATTTGGCGTTTCTCCACTATTGACCTATGAAAGGGTAGATTCCCCTGGCCAAGTTGGCTGTTCCCAAGTCGACCTTCATCACCCCATTCAGCTTATACCAATTTCGAGTTTAACTGTTTGGGATAAAGAATGCCCCAGCCACTTTCCAGCATATGGTGGACAGAGTCCTCGATGGCCTCCAGAACTGTACGTGCGTGTACCTGGATGACATTGCAATCTTTAGCAACACTTGGGAGGAATACCAATGCCCTGTGGGGATGGTCCTAGATAAGATTAGGGCAGCCGGCTAACACAGTCACATGCAGACAGTCACACATACAGTCACAGACAGTCATGCACACAGTTAAAGGCAAACAGTCAAATATACATTGACACACACACACACGACAGCAGCAGAGAGTCACATGCACACAATCACAGACAGATATTCACACACGGTTACAGGCAACATCAAACAGTCACAGGCAGACAATTACACACACAGTCAGTTACAGGTAGTCGCACACAGTCATAGCCAGACAATCATGCAGTTACAGACACAGTCACATATATAGTCACTCACAGTCACAGGCAGAGAGTTACACACACACACACACACTTACAGACAGACACACACACAGTTACAGGCAGACAGTCTCTCACACACACACACACACAGGCAGACAGTCACACACACAAGCACACACAAAGTTACAGGCAGACAGTTACACACACACTTGCAGACAGACACACACACACACACAAAGTTACAGGCAGACAGTTACACACAGACACACACACAGTTACACACAGACAGTCTCTCTTACACACACAAACACACACACACAAAGTTGCAGACAGTCACACACACACACAGTTACACACAGACAGTCTCTCTTACACACACAGTCACACATACAGACACACACTCTTACAGACAATGGGCTGGAGGAGGACTGGATTCCCTGAAGCCTGTGGAGAAGCACCTCCTAACAGCAGCGGGTAAGGGCCATATTAAGCCCCGCCCCGTTGCTGTTTTTCCCTGCCCCTGATTTTGCTTAGCTCCGCCCCGATTTTCCTCCGTGCGGCCAGTTTAGCAGCTGTTTGCTTGTGTGAGCTGTACTACCATGGGGCACTGTGAGGCCACAGCTCACACAGCCCCCTCCAGCCCCCAGACCAGGGTCATGGCATCCCCCCACCCAGTGGCACTCGGGGCGGACCATCCCCTCCTCCACCCCCAGCCCAGCAACAGCCTCCAGTGACAGGTAGGCTTGGTGTGTGTCTCTCTGCCTGCTAGTGAGGAAGCTTGTATGTATGTGTGTGTGTGTGTGTATAGACTAAGCAGTCTGTGTCTCTCTGTGTGTGTGTGTGTATGGACTCAGCAGTCTGTGTGTGTGTGTGTGTGTACACTCAGCAGTCTGTGTGTGTGTGTGTATATGGACTCAGCAGTCTGTGAGTGTGTGTGTGTGTGTGTGTATGGACTCAGCAGTCTGTGTGTGTGTGTGTGTGTGTGTGTGTGTGTGTGTATGGACTCAGCAGTCTGTGTGTGTGCATGGACTCAGACAGACTGCTGAGTCCAGACACACACACACAGACAGACTGCTGAGTCCAGACACACACAGACAGACTGCTGAGTCCAGACACACACACAGACTGCTGAGTCCATACACACACACACAGACTGCTGAGTCCAGACACACACACACAGACTGCTGTGTGTGTATGGACTCAGCAGTCTGTGTGTGTGTGTATGGACTCAGCAGTCTGTGTGTGTGTGTATAGACTCAGCAGTCTGTGTGTGTGTATGGACTCAGCAGTCTGTGTGTGTGTGTGTGTGTGTGTGTGTGTGTGTATGTACTCAGCAGTCTTTGTGTGTGTGTGTGGACTCAGCAGCCTGTCTGTGTGGACTCAGCAGTCTGTGAGTGTGTGTGTGGACTAAGCAGCCTGTGTGTGTGGACTCAGCAGCCTGTGTGTGTGTGTGGACTCAGCGGTCTGCGTGTGTGTGTGTGTGCATGGACTCAGCAGTCTGTCTATGTGTGTGTGTGTGTGTGTGTGGACTCAGCAGCCTGTGTATGGACTAAGCACATTGTGTGTGTGTGTGGACTCAGCAGTCTGTGTGTGTGCATGGACTCAGACAGACTGCTGAGTCCAGACACACACACACAGACAGACTGCTGAGTCCATACACACACAGACAGACTGCTGAGTCCATACACACACAGACAGACTGCTGAGTCCATACACACACACAGAGACTGCTGTGTGTGTATGGACTCAGCAGTCTGTGTGTGTGTATAGACTCAGCAGTCTGTGTGTGTGTGTATGGACTCAGCAGTCTGTGTCTGTATGTACTCAGCAGTCTGTGTGTGTGGACTCAGCAGCCTGTCTGTGTGGACTCAGCAGTCTGTGAGTGTGTGTGTGTGGACTAAGCAGTCTGTGTGTGTGTGGACTCAGCAGCCTGTGTGTGTGTGTGTGTGTGTATGGACTCAGCGGTCTGTGTGTGTGTGTGTGTGTGCATGGACTCAGCAGTGTGTGTGTGTGTGTGTGTGTGTGTGTGGACTCAGCAGCCTGTGTGTGTGTATGGACTCAGCAGTCTGTGTATGTGTGTGTGTCTGTATGTGTGTGGACTCAGCAATCTGTGTGTGTGTGTGGACTCAGCAGTCTGTGTGTGTGTATGGACTCATCAGCCTCTGTGTGTGTGTGTGTGTGTGTGTGTGGACTCAGCAGTGTGTGTGTGTATGTATGGACTCAGCAGCCTGTGTGTGTATGGACTCAGCAGCCTGTGTGTGTGTATGGACTCAGCAGTCGGTGTGTGTGTGTGTGTATGGACTCAGCAGCCTGTGTGTGTGTGTGGACACAGCAGTCTGTGTGTGTGTGTATGGACTCAGCAGTGTGTGTGTGTGTGTGCATGGACTCAGCAGTCTGTGTGTGTGTACTCAGCAGTCTGTGTGTGTGTATGGACTCAGCAGTCTGTGTGTGTGTGTGTGTGTGTGTGTGTGGACTCAGCAGTCTGTGTGTGTGTGTGTATGTGTGTGTGTGTATGGACTCAGGGGTCTGTGTGTGTGTGTGTGTGTGTGTGTGTATGTATGGACTCAGCAGCCTGTGTGTGTGTATGGACTCAACCCCAGTGGTGTGTGTGTGTGTGTGTGTGTGTGTGTGTGTGTGTGTATGGACTCAGCAGCCTGTGTGTGTGTATGGACTCAGCAGTCTGTGTGTGTGTGTGTGTGTGTGTGTGTGGATTTGGCAGTCTGTGTGTGTGTGTGTGTGTATGGACTCAGCAGTCTGTGAGGTGTGTGTGTGGACTCAGCCCAGTCTGTGTGTGTATGGATCAGCAGTCTGTGTCTGTGTCTGTGTGTGTGTTTGTGTGGACTCAGCAGTCTGTGTGTCTGTGTGTGTGTATGGACTCAGCAGTCTGTGTGTGTGTGTGTGTGTGTGGACTCAGCAGTCTGTGAGTGTGTGTGTGTGTGTGTGTGTGTGCATGGACTCAGCAGTCTGTGTTTGTGTGTGGGCTCAGCAGTATGTGAGTGTGTGTATGGACTCAGACAGACTGCTGTTTGTGTGGACTCAGTAGTCTGTGTGTCTGCGTGTGTATGGACTCAGCAGTCTCTGTGTATGGACTCAGCATTCTGTGTGTGTGTGTGTGGACTCAGCAGTGTGTGTGTGTTTTGACTCAGCAGTGTGTGTGTGTTTTGACTCAGCAGTCTATGTGTGTGTGTATGGACTCAGCAGTCTGTGTGTGTGTGTGGACTCAGCAGTGTGTGTGTGTTTTGACTCAGCAGTCTGTGTATGTGTGTGTGGACTCAGCAGTCTATGTGTGTGTGTGTGTATGGACTAAGCAGTCTATGTGTGTGTATGGACTCAGCAGTCTGTGTGTATGTGCGTGTGTGTGTATGGACTCACAGTGTGTGTGTGTGTGTGTGTGTGTGTGTATGGACTCAGCAGTCTGTGTGTGTGTGTGTCTGTGTGTGTATGAACGCAGCAGTATGTGTGTGTGTATGGACTCAGCAGTCTGTGTGTGTCTGGACTCAGCAGTCTTTATGTGTGCATGGACTCAGCAGTCTGTGTGTGTGTACTCAGCAGTCTCTCGGTGTTCGTATTCAGTGTACTGTGTGTATTTACTCAGCAGTCAATCAATAATTACATTTTTATTCCTGTGAGTAGTTGTGTAGGAAGGGCCCCAGTGCACTGCTTTGCCCTGGGGGCCCTTAACGCTGTTAAGATGGTACTGCTTATGTATGTCAGTAAGCTTCTATTTAGTGAGCATGTGTGTGTCAGTCAGCTTGTCTTTAGTGAGCTTGTGTGTGTTCCTGAACGTCTTTGTAGTGAGCCTTGTGTTTATACAAGTGAGTTTGTCTGTAGTAAGCTTGTGTGTGAGTCAGAGAGATTTGTCTGTCAGTGGGCCTATTTGTGCATGTCAGTGAGCTTGTGTGCTTACCGTACTATATATATATATATATATATATATATATATATATATATATATATATATATTGACTTGTAGAAATGGCATACATTTTTTTCCAGGGCTGCTTTGGATTCCCTATTTGGCTCTGCCAGCGAGTGCGCTTTACCCCTGAATCATCTGTGTGAGCTGCCGCACACTTTATAGCCCTGTTACACGCATCTGGGAGCTGCTGTTGACAGGTACTAGTAGTCTAGAGATTGGGACATGGGGTATATGCTCAGCTATCTGTATAATACTATAGTGCTGTTCTCTGTATAATACAGACCTGTGTGTGTATAATATACCGGGATAGTCAGTGCTTTCTGTATAGTGCTGCTCTTTGTATAATACAGGTCTGTGTCTGCATAATATCCTGGGACAGTCTGTGTTCCCTGTATACTGCTGCTCTCTGTCTTGGGATATAATACACGAACAGACCTGTATAATACAGAGAGAAGCACTATAAAGGGAGCACTGACTGTCCCGGGATATTAAACACACAGCCATGTGTTATACAGGGAGCACTGAGTGTCCCAATTTATTATACACACAACCCTGTATTATACAGAGAGCACTGACTGTCCAGGGATGTTATACACAGACAGTAATTGATAGCTGTGCTGCAAAATGTCCTTGGAAATTTTTTTCAAATGTTGGCAACTATGGCACTGTATCAAGGGAAATGTGTTTGTTTTTTAAATAATCCCTGGTGGAAAATAATGAATCCTCCAACAAAGATTATTTAAAAAAACAACAACACATTGTGTCGGGGGCTGGGCTTAACATATGGCAGGGGCGGGGTCAAACTGCAGCAGGGGCTGGGTTAGATGTGCCCCCCTACTTTTGTCCCTGGCCCACCATGTGCCCCCCCTAAAAATTAATCCTAGAGGCACCACTGAAAAGGAGGAGGTTATATGGAGTAATAGGAGGAGTTACACTGAGAGGTTGATCAATAGTTTGCATACCCTGGCAGGAATTGTGAAATTGTGGCATTGATTTTGAAAATATGACTGATGATGCAAAAAATATATATTTTATTGAAGGATGGTTATCATATGAAGCAATTTATTGTCACATAGTTGTTTGGTTCCTTTTTAAATCATAATGATAACAGAAATCACCCAAATTGTACATACCATTGAATATTTGACCTTGGTATAGACACACAAGTTGACACACACAGGCTAAAATGGCAATTAAAGGTTAATTTCCCACACCTGTGGCATTTTGAATTTCAATTCGTGTCTGTGTATAACAGATTTATTTAACCAATCATTGTTAACAGGAGTAGTTCCAGACGATGGAAAGTTAGTGAATGTTGTGCCCATTCGCAAGAAAGGTAGTAGGGAGGAGTAGGCAACTATAGGCCAGTAAGCCTTACTTCAGTAGTGGCAGGGCCGGACTGGGAATTAAAAGCAGCCCTGGAAAAAAAATATTTACCAGCCCCATAATGCGTCGCGCCAGCATAGTGTACAGATACAGAGTTAGAACAGATAACTTAAAATTAAAAAGTACTTCAACGTAAAAAGCGCATAGGCTTCAAAATAAACAAAAGTGCAGATTTATTTTAAGCAGACGTGCCTTTGCATGTAATCAATGTTTCAGTCCAACTACCTTGACATATTAAAGAAAGCTTGTTAATGGGACTGAAATGGTGAATGTATGTAGGGCACAACTGAAAAAATGTTTATTTTGAAGTCCTGTGGGTGTGCTCTTCACTTTAAATATGTTATTGTGCTGGAGTATGCACCTAGCAACAAGACTGGGCCAATATCTGCTCATTACATATGGTACATATTAATGACATTTCTCTGTGTATTATGCATTTATAAATGTACATTAATATGTGTATATATAATATATATATATAAAAATACAAAATACCCCTGCACTCCAACTAGAGAAATAAAAATAGTACCTGGTGCTCTGGTGGCTTAATCATAAACAAAGTGAAAATACCGGCACTCAAGGTTTTCCAGAAGATAACTTCTCCATTTATTGCGGAAAAAAAATTTGACGTTTCAGCTCCACTGGGGAGCTTTCATCAGGACACCTGATGAAAGCTCCCCAGTGGAGCTGAAACGTCGAATTTTTTTTCCGCAATAAATGGAGAAGTTATCTTCTGTTAAACCTTGAGTGCCGGTATTTTCACTTTGTTTATATATATATATAACTAATACACACATTAATATACATGTCATATACTAGTGGAGGATCCAGAGCCTGAGCCTAAGAGGGGCACTTGTAGATTATTTAAAGAAATATTCCATGCACAATAACCACTACTCCTCTGTGTAGTGGTTATGGTGCCAGGAGCGTCGGCACCCCCTCCCAGAGTAAGTCGTCAAACCGTTTAAGAACAGTTTGACAACTTACCTGGAGTCTGCTGAGATATGGGGCTGTAGTAGGGTATAGGAGCAGTGGTGCAATGTGTATGAAAGGTTCAGTGTGTGGGTGGGCAGTGTGTAAATGTGTATGGTGTGTGTGTGTGTGTGGGGGCAGTGTGTGAATGTGTATGGTGTGTGTGTGTGGGGCAGTGTGTGTGTATGGGGCTAGAGTTCACTCCTACTACTGGGACCACCAGGAAGTGGTGAGAGTGAACTCTAGCCCGTAGCTCCAGGGCTAGAGTTCACCCTTGTGAGAGCCGGAGCGTTGCCCCAGGTCCTCTCTTCCTCCCCTGCCGACTGGCTGCACGGTGCCTGTGGAACGGGGAGGGAGATCGGCCGGCAGGGGAAAGCCTTGGGGGCTTTGTGATATA